AAACGAGAGTTGTGAGGATGTCTCAAGCGAAACGGCCCGGACCATCAGATTTTTGTGAGGATGTCTCTGCTTCCCCTTTCCCTCGGCCGGAGTTAGCTTCTATCACAACAGCACCCCGTTCAGCAAGCTGTTTGGGGAAAAATCCTGTTTGGGGAACCTTATCTCGGAGACCAGAGTTGCGAGGATGTCCCAGGTCGCACCTGGTCGACGAGTAAGCTGTCGGGTCGGCACTGTGAGAGGCTCCACCGCCATGCTGTGAACTCAGAAGCAACTTTAAGAGGAAGCGGTGGAGGGCGCGGAAGCGGGGGGGCATGTCGTGATGGTTCCCCCGGGGATGATATCGAGAGGTACGCGGCGCACGTCTCAAAAAAAAAATCGCGACGTCGGATGTCTGGGGAGGGCGGAAGGTAGTGCGCGCATGACGGATGCTGAGGCGGCAGAAACGACGACGGCGGGGACGGGGAGGCGGAGGCAGAGGCGCAGCAGCGGGAGGCGGGAGGCCGGAGGAGGGAGGAGGGAAGAGGAGCCAGGCGGGAAGTGGGAAGAGGGAGGCGGGAGAAGGAATGAGACAGGTTGTGATTGGAGCCCCTGTGCTACGAAACGTCTCAGGCAGAACGGGCCAGATCATCTCGCGCGCAACATCTTCGAGCCTCGCATTGCGAGGATGGCTCAATGGAAACGGGCCGGACCACCTCGCGAGCGACATCTTGGAGCTCAGTATTGGAAGGATGTCTCAAACGAAACAGGCCGGACAATCTCTCGCACACGTTCTGACAAGTCCACGTCGCACTCGCTTCCCATAAGGTCCTCTCCTGCAACTCCCTTCCTTTTCCCTCCTCCTCCTCCTCCTCCTCCTCCTCCTCCTCCTCCCCCTCCTCCTGCCTGCTCCCTCATGCACATCATCCGCCTCCTCCTTCTCCCTTCCATCTCCTTCTTCTCCTCCTCCTCCTCATCCTCCACCTCTTCATCCCGAACGGCATCTCGGAACCCAGAGTTGCGAGGATGTCTCCAGCATAACGGGCTGGACCACCACGTGCGCGGCATCTCGGACCCCAGAGTTGCGACGATGTCTCGGGCGAAACGTGCTGCGAGGAAGTCTCAGGCGAAACGGGCCGGACCACCTCGAGCGCGGCGTCTCAGAGCTCCGAGTTGCGAGGGCCTCCTGGTGCCTCCTCGGACCTCCTGGGGACCTCCTGGGGCTTCCTCCTGGGCCTCCTGTGGCTTCCTGGACCCCACCTGGGGCTTCCTGAAGCCTCTTGGGGCTCCCAGGGGGGATATCTAACCTGTGGCCGCTTGGGCCCCTCAAAAGCACAAGAGCAGGAAAAATCAACGAATCGACAGCGGATGTGTATTAACTTAGCACGTTCTGATAGGGGGCCTCCTGGGGCCTCCTGGGAGCCTCCTGGGAATCTCCTGGGGACCCCTGGGGCCTGTCCTGGGCATCCTGCGGCCTCCTGGAGCTCTCTGGGGCCTCCTGGGGCTCCCAGGGTCCCAGGGAGGATATGTAAGATGTGGTCTTCTGGGCCCCCAGGCTGGACCACCTCTTGCGCAGCATCTGGGAGCTCAGAATTGCGAGAATGTCTTGTGCGAAACAGGCTGGACCACCTCTTGCGCGGCATCTGGGAGCTCAGAGTTGCGAGGATGTCTCAGGCGAGACGGGCCGGACCACCTCGCGCAGGGCATCTCGGGGCCCAGAATTGCAAGGATGTCTCAGGCGAAACAGGCTGGACCAGCTCGCAAGCGGCATCTCGGAGCCCAGAGTTGCGAGGATGTCTCAGGCGAAACAGGCCGGACCACCTTTCGCACGGCATCTCGGGGCTCAGAGTTTCGAGGATGTCTCAGGCGAAACGGGCCGAACCACCTCGCAAGCGTCATCTCGGAGACAGGAGTTGCGAGGATGTGTCAGGCGAAACGGCCCGGACCACCTCTCGCACAGCACCTCGGGGCTCAGAGTTTCGAGGATGTCTCAAGCGAAACGGCCCGGACCACCTCTCGCGCGGCTTCCCGGAGCGCAACTTTTCGAGGATGTTTCAGGCGAAACGGCCAATCCCCGCCAACTCAGAAACGAGAGGTGTGGGGATGTCTCAAGCGAAACGGCCCGGACCATCAGATTTTTGTGAGGATGTCTCTGCTTCCCCTTTCCCTCGGCCGGAGTTAGCTTCTATCACAACAGCACCCCATTCAGCAAGCCGTTTGGGGAAAAATTGTGACGTCGGATGTCTGCGGAGGGCGGAAGGCAGGGCGCGCATGGCGGCATCTCGGAGCTTCGCATTCTGAGGATGGCTCGGGAGAAACGGGCTGGACCACCTCGCGTGCGGCATCTCGGAGCTCAGTGTTGGAAGGATGCCCCAAGCGAAACGGGCCGTTCTACCTCTCGCTTCCCGTTGAACCCTCTCATGCAACTCCATTCCTCATCCCTCCTCCTCCTCCTCGTCCTCCTCCTCCTCCTGCCTGCTCCCTCCTCCTCCTCCTTCTGCTCCTCCTCCGGCACGTTTTGAGACGTCGCTAAAGTGAGTATAGAAATCCTGTTAGGGGAACCCTGTCTCGGAGCCCAGAGTTGCGAGGATGTCCCAGGTCGCACCTGGTCGACGAGTAAGCTGTCGGGTCGGCACTGTGAGAGGCTCCGCCGCCATGCTGTGAACTCAGAAGCAACTTTAGGAGGAAGCGGGGGAGGGCGCGGAAGCGGGGGGACATGTCGTTATGGTTCCCCCGGGGATGATATCGAGAGGTACGCGGCGCACGTCTCAAAAAAAAAATCGCGACGTCGGATGTCTGGGGAGGGCGGAAGGCAGTGCGCGCATGACGGATGCTGAGGCGGCAGAAACGACGACGGCGGGGACGGGGAGGCGGAGGCAAAGGCGCAGCAGCGGGTGGCGGGAGGAGGGAGGAGGGAAGAGAAGCCAGGCGGGAAGTGGGAAGAGGGAGGCGGGAGAAGGAATGAGACAGGTTGTGATTGGAGCCTCTGTGCTACGAAACGTCTCAGGCAGAACGGGCCAGACCATCTCGCGCGCAACATCTTCGAGCCTCGCATTGCGAGGATGGCTCGGGCCGGACCACCTCGCGAGCGACATCTTGGAGCTCAGTATTGGAAGGATGTCTCAAACGAAACGGGCCGGACAATCTCTCGCACACGTTCTGACAAGTCCACGTCGCACTCGCTTCCCGTAAGGTCCTCTCCTGCAACTCCCTCCCTTCTCCCTCCTCCTCCTCCTCCTCCTCCTCCTCCTCCTCCTCCTCCTCCTCCCCCTCCTCCTGCCTGCTCCCTCATGCACATCATCCGCCTCCTCCTTCTCCCTTCCATCTCCTCCTCCTCCTCCTCCTCCTCTTCCTCCTCCTCCTCCTCTTCCTCCTCCTCCTCCTCCTCCTCCTCCACCTCCTCTTCATCCCGAACGGCATCTCGGAGCCTAGAGTTGCGAGGATGTCTCCAGCGTAACGGGCTGGACCACCTCGCGCGCAGCATCTCGGACCCCAGAGTTGCGACGATGTCTCGGACGAAAAGTGCTGCAGAGGAAGTCTCAGGCGAAACGGGCCGGACCACCTCGAGCGCGGCGTCTCAGAGCTCCGAGTTGCGGGGGCCTCCTGGGGCCTCCTGGGGGCCTCCTGGGGCTTCCTCCTGGGCCTCCTGTGGCCTCCTGAACTCCACCTGGGGTTTCCTGAAGCCTCTTGGGGCTCCCAGGGGGGATATCTAACCTGTGGCCGCTTGGGCCCCTCAAAATGGAGGGGGGGGCACAAGAGCAGGAACAATCAACGAATTGACACCGGATGTGTATTAACATGACATGTTCTGATAGGGGGCCCCCTGGGGCCTCCTGGGAGCCTCCTGGGAATCTCCTGGGGACCCCTGCGGCCTGTCCTGGGCGTCCTGCGGCCTCCTGGAGCTCTCTGGGGCCTCCTGGGGCTCCCAGGGTCCCAGGGAGGGTATGTAAGATGTGGTCTTCTGGGCCCCCAGGCTGGACCACCTCTTGCGCGGCATCTGGGAGCTCAGAGTTGCGAGAATGTCTTGTGCGAAACAGGCCGGACCACCTTGCGCACGGCATCTCAGAGCTCAGAGTTGCGAGGACGTCTCAGGCGAGACGGGCCGGACCACCTCGCGCAGGGCATCTCAGAGCGCAGAATTTCAAGGATGTCTCAGGCGAGACGGGCCGGACCACCTCTCGCGCGGCATCTCCGAGGTCAGAATTTTGAGGATGTCTCAGGCGAAACGGGCCAGACCACCTCGCGCAAGGCACCTCGGGGCTCAGAGTTTCGAGGATGTCTCAAGCGAAACGGCCCGGACCACCTCTCGCGCGGCGTCCCGGAGCGCAACTTTTCGAGGATGTCTCAGGCGAAACGGCCAATCCCGGCCAACTCAGAAACGAGAGTTGTAAGGATTTCTCAAGCGAAACGGCCCGGACCATCAGATTTTTGTGAGGATGTCTCTGCTTCCCCTTTCCCTCGGCCGGGGTTAGCTTCTATCACAACAGCACCCCGTTCAGCAAGCTGTTTGGGGAAAAACAGAACGCTCACCAGTCTCCCAACGCCTCCCGCGGCTCCCTCGGCTTCTCTGCCCTCATCGTGCCGACGCGCCAGTGCTCCCCCAGACCTGTCCCAGAGCGCGCTCCGACCAGGGTCGCGAGGCGAATGCAGCCCCCCCCCTCCCTTCCTCGTCCTCCTGCCCCCCCTCTCCCTGCCACCCCCTCTCAGGAGAGCGACTTGTCTCAATGCCGCAAATGGTGATCGATGTAACCCGCACGTATGGAAGACAATCGCCAGCTGGGACGCTACTTTCCTGAACTGTCCTTACTTGATGTGCCCTGGTCCGGACATACGCTTCCAACCGACGGCACTTCTGCAGCCGATGTGTCGTGCAGACACGGCGTTCTTGAATTGACGAGGGTTTGCCAGAATGACACCACAAAGCGAGAAACGTCGGAATTCTCTGAAGTCCTTCTTCTTCCACGTGCTGCCCATCCTGGCCTGGCTGGCCACAGCCCCGCGCGCGAGGGGGGACCCTCTCGCAGGCCCTAGACGCGGAGCTGCTGAGGACGAAGCGCCTCCTGGTCGAGCTGCAGGCGGCGGCAAGCGAAGCCACGATGGGAGTGTCGGTGATCGCACGCCAGCGGGCGTACAGGGGCCACGTTGGGTGGGAGTAGGCACGTTAGGGGGGGATAGGCTCAGAGGGGCATGCATCCGGCGTCGCCCATTCATCGCCGACGGGGGCCCGATAGACCCACCCCGTCCAGGAGCGTGCGTATTCGCCATCGGGAGCCTGTCGCCGATTCCAGGTCCATGTTGCCTCCCTGAGGTAGTTCCCCCCTATTTGATCCCCCCACTGGGGAGCGGCCTTCACGCAGCCTCTGCCCGACGGCAGAAGGTTCGGCGCTCCTGTGTCTGGAGACTTCGGGATGGCACCGAGCTCTCAAGGCCGACGCAACGCCGATCCATCAGCGACGTGTTTCTGATGCTAGGCCGATGTTACCCCCCTCCTGAGCCGCACTCCCCCCGATCGTTCCCCCTCGTTCATTATTGCATTCATTCCTATCCCACGCGACGAACGGCCACCCCGACCATCATAGCTGGAGTGTACCTGGCTGCCCTGTGCGTTCACGCAGCAGCCCTCCCCCGTCCGATCCCGTTCTCGGGCGCGTTTGCTGAGGGGCCTTGGCTGCAGGGGTGCTCATAATGTGAGTGGCTCTTCCGCCTCCTACTTCAGAAGCAAGAGGTCATGATAATGAGACGTTCCAGGATGTCCACGACTTCCCAGCTTCCCTGATGTCCTCCTTGCGGGCTCCACAAACGCAGGCCACTAGATGCTGCGGACTCCCTGGAACGCATCCTGCTACTGTCCGCAACTCGGGGGCCCTACACGTGGGCGCTGGCCGCTGGCCGCTGGCGGGAAGACCGGCCGAGACCCTCCGTCTGTGGGATGTCGTGGTCGGCGTGCGGGGGGAACGGCGCTGGCCTCGGGCGGCGGCCGAGACATCCGGTGCGACTTCCCTGCTGCACTGCGGGACGCCGCGCTGGTCCTCTGCGGCGGGGAGGGCGCCGGCCGCGGCAAGAGGCCCGGGGCCCCGAGAGAGGCCCTCTGCGGAGCCCTCGCGCGTCCGGTGCCGCTGGCGTCGGAGGGCGTTGGGCATCTCTTCCCGCGCCGGCGGCCTCGGCTTTGCCTGCCCTGCGGTCAGCAACTTTGGCTCAGCGTGCTGCGGCGGCGGTTCTGGCCCACCACGCCTCGGCGCGACACGCCAACAACGTGTCAGCCCTCGAGCGTCCACGTCCCGAGCTTTGATGAGCCTCCTGACCCGCAGAGCGGCGCGACACGCTATCCGCTTGCAGGGCATAGCGTGTCGCCGGGGCGGCCGCCGCGACACACTGAGCAAAAGATCCGGTAGCACGGGTCTGGCGAACCTTGGCATTGAAGCCGGCCCCTATGCCACCTGCAGCAGTGGGCCGATTCATCGGCAGGAGATTGTCCCTTTTCTTTCAGACGTGGCTTCTCCTCTCCCTCTCTCATCCTCCTTGCTCATCGCTCCCCGCCCAGTCCTCCCTTCTCTTCCCCCTCATCCTGTTCCTCCTCATCACCCTCTCCCTTTCCCGATCCTTATTTTTCCTCCAAGGCCTCTTGGCACTGTCGCTCCCTGACCTGCCGACGGCAGACAAGGGAGGAGCGTCAGCATCAGCGGAAGGAATACGAGAGGCGGAGGAGAAGGAGGAGGAGAAGGAGGAGGAGGAGGAGGAGGAGGAGGAGGAGGAGGAGGAGGGAGGGGGTGGAGGAGCAGGAGCTGGAGGTGGAGGTGGAGGTGGAGGAGGTAGGCACTAACAGCAGAATCGGGAGAAGGGGGAAGTGGCAAATGTGCACGAATACGATCGGCAGAGAAGGCAGGGGGCAGGAGCGTAGGAGGGGGGCGATGAAGGCACAGGAGCCGAGGCAGGCGGTGTACAGGAACGGCAGCAGGGAGGAGCAGGAGGCGGAGCAGAAGGAGGAGCAGCATCGAGTGGTGAGCTTTGCAGCCGTCCCAGAGCCTCAGCCGCGCAGGTCCCAGGCTTAGCTGCCCTGAAACGCCCGCGTTGACACGCAACACGTATCGTACTCTACATTCAAAACGTACGTGCCGCCACGCTGCGTATTGGCTCGGCACGTGTTGGCTCACCTTTAGGCGAACGTGTCGCGCCAAGCGTGCATGTTCAGTCTACGTATTGCGCTCCGTGTCAACACGCTACGTGTTGCATGGTGCGTATCGGAGCAGCTACGGTCCCAGGAGGCCTCCAAGAGGCAAGGCCCCTGGAGGCCCGAGAAAGAGCCAACACCGGGGGCCTCGAGGTGGTTGTCAGCGCAAGCGGGGGTCAGCCAGGGCGCCGGGATCTTGCAGGATCCTGCAGAGCCAAGGCTGCATTGACCCGGGCTAGCGCGCAGGATCCTGCAGGATCTTGCAGGATCATGCAAGGCGCGACTGACCCCGGTTTGCATTGACCCAGGCCAGTGGGTCTCCGACAACAAACACACTCAAACAAAAACAGTCGAGAACGTCTGGATGGTTCCCCGCTCGATTGACCCTCGAGGGCCGAGGGCAGGACCTGGCGAGGAGCGACCTGGCAGGAGGAAGAGGGGAAATGATTGGCATATTCTGTGCCAAGGTGTCGATCCGCATGTGTGGCCAAGGTTATCGCATTCGAGACCACACTGAGTAAGCTGTGTTACGCAGTTCTCGCGGGGCAGCATGGACGGCAGCCTGGGGGCGTAGGCCGTACGAAAAGAAGAAGGATGAGGAGGCGGAAGAGAGCTCCCCGAATCAGCGCGAGAACGCCAAGCTGAAGGAGGCGGGCGCGGGCTGGGGCGGCGCGGGCAGCCCGATCACCGCGAGCAAGTACGCCGCTCTTCAGCAGCAGGCGGCCTTCGCGTCTCGCCTCGACCTCTCCCCCTCGTTCTCCTCCTTCACCTTCCTCTCCCTTTCCATCCTCGTTCTCCACCTCCTCCATCCTCTCCTTCTCCCCCTCTCCCTCGTTTTCCTATCCCTCTCCTCCTCCCTCTCCCTTCTCCTTCTTCTCCTTCCTCGTTGTCCACCTCCTCCATCCTCAGTCTTAGTGTTCATGGGAGCCATCACGATCGACGGCTAACGATGGTGATGGTGTCAGGGCGCCAGGATTCCAGGATGCGACCTATGATGAGGCCGTTGAGACCTGCGGGGCCCGTGGGGCATTTGAATCCTGCAGGGCTTGTGGGACTGGGCGACTTGTGGGGCCTCTGCGACCTGACCTGCTGGGCCTGTGCGACCTGTTGGGCATGTGGGACCTGTGAGACCTGTGGGACATGAGGGACCTGCAGGCCTTGTGGGACCCGTTGGACCTGTGCGACCTGTGGGAACCGTCGGACCTGTGGGGTCTGTGGAACATGTGGGACTTGTGGGGTCCCCGGGAACTGTGCGGCCTGTAGGGTTTGTTGGACCTCTGGGACTTGCGGGACATGGCCCTGTAGAACGTGTGGGACCTGCGGGGACTGTAGTGGGGCTTGTGGAACCTGTGGGGCCTGACCTGTGGGACAGGTGCGACATGTGCGATTTGAGGTACCCCTGGGACCTGTGAGCCTTGTGATATCTGTGATACTTGTGGGACCTGTGGGACCTGTGGAGCCTATGGGACCGGAGGGCGGTATGGACCCTGTTGGATTTGTGCGACCTGTGGGAACCGTGGGCCCTGTGAGTTTTGTTGGGCCTGCTGTACTTGTGAGACCTGTGTAAACTGTACGCCCTCGGTTCCCGCCGGAGACTTCCTCGCTTCATTGACGAGCTTGAGACATCCTGACGATTCGCACCCATGAGGTGCTCAACTGCTATGCCTGCTACACTACACCGACGACCGCGTCGGATTAAAAACATGAGACGGCGACCCCAGAAGGAGGGGGCCCCCGCTGGAAACTTCCTCGCGAATCACTCACACGAAGCCACCGCTCGAGACATCATCGCGATTTGCCCCTTTGGGGTTGTCAACTGATATGGCTGCTACAGTACGCCGATGACAGAGGAAAGTTGAATGAAATATCCTGACAATATATAGGGATAATCTCACGCCTGTGTAGTTACTGAACCAACCGTGCCGGGAGACGCGTCGTCCGAGGGATGGGCGTGGCATCGGTCAGCATGTCTTCCTTGCCTTTCTTGAGAATGCTCAGTCCCAGGGCACAACTCGCCGTGAGCATTCTCGCACGTACATGAGGACAATCATCCTGATATAAAACTATCCAGCCGCTTTTGCTCGTCACCCTCGGCACACTTGTCCATCATGCCGGGGGAATGTCCTAGCGGTCTTCAACGATTCTTCGTTCTCGTGTATGTCGAGGACTCTCGGCGAATGCGTGACGAAAGCTGGGGGTCAGTGCCCCACAGTGCTTGCAGGGGTATCCTGTCCGCCGTCGCGTCTCAGATGTCACCGCCCCCGATCTGAAGACCGCCAGGAGTGTGCGGTCTTCCTCACTCAGGGCCTAAAGCCACTTGGAATATACTTTGCTAGAAGATGCCTGAACGTCCACGTCATCGATCTCCTCCGCGTCATATCTCGAGCGCACCACCTGCTGGAGAGATCTGATGCGACCGATGCTTCTGAGTGCATGCTGTGCGGCCTTGCTGTTGGCACTGAACCTCCAGTCATCACTCACAATATGCTCGACTGCGCGACTGACCCTGAAGTCGTCACGCGAGTCCACTTGGAGTATAGCGCCCTGAGTGGGCGAATTTCGGATAAAAAGATCATCCCACTACCCGTGCGTACTCTGAGAGAGTCGTGTCAAGAAAATCACTCCATACCAATCTCTCATCAACCAACTTTCGAAATCCGAGAGTGGCGGCAGAATGCTCTGTATGCACCAATACATTCTGCGCCCAATAGCGTCCAAAACACCACCAGCGCGAGCTTGTTCTCCACAGGGCTCGGCACAATAGTCTCGCAAAACGTCTTGGTGGCGGTGTCACTATTGGCAACGCCCACGTACATAATGGCCTCACGTATGCAAAGGCCAGTCTGAGTCGTACTTGGCGGCTGCCAGGGACCCCCAGCACTGAGATGGCTGTCTCGAGCTTCTGCCAGCCGCCCCTCGGGATGATGGGGACGGTGTGGTCTGTAGGAGTAGCAAGGATGCCCAAATGCTCCACTTGGGCTGGAACAGGGTCATCAATACTCCAGCGTTGCCTTTTACTCTGGTTCTCACAATACCCGATAGACGTGTCGAACTGCTGTGTCATCTGCAAGTCCTTGTCGAGGTCGTCGGTATTCTGCGCCACCAGGCTTCTGTCGTCCATGGAAGCGTGTCCCTGCGACGTCGGTACCCATGGCACCAGTGCCGATATGAGCGTACAAGGCGCCGTGCTGTCGCCCTCGGGTCCAGTGGTGGTGCACGTTCGCTTTGGATACAGCATATCCTCGGGCCCTTCCAAGCAGCGTAGCATGTGTACATGACGGCGTACGGTATGGTTGAGTGATCAGCCGCTTCCAAGGCCAGGTCGTGGTCCACCTGATCGAAGGCTGCCGAGAGGTCCATCTGTGCGCCACACTGGCCTTCCGTGCAATCTTTCAGCCACTTGGAAACTGCGTGCACCACGGACGTGTGTCTGCGGTTGACCCACTGCAGGTCTGGTGGTCGCCAGGGCCCGCAGCCATGCTCGCAACAGCACGGATCCCACTGTGATGGTACGAGTAGCTTCTTCGTTCTTTGGAATGCCCGCTACCCGCCAAGGATATATGGCGTGCAGCACTTCTGGGGGTAGTCGACCTCGAAGCTTGACTGCTTGTTGTGGTGTCGTGACCCACAGCTCGTGCAATTCCTCGATGACGGTGGGGTAGATCTTCTCCAGGGCCTTGACCTCGCGACTTGTCCAGCCGTCGAGCCCAGGGCATCCTTTGGCTTGGCGGACTACTGCCACGAAGGTGTCCAGCGTTGGCATCCAGTCCTGTGAGTATGTCGACTTCGGGAAGGCCACGGCCGAGGCGTCCTGCCTCCAGGCGTTGACGTAGCCCGTGTTGTCGTAGTTGTCTGGCTTCCAGTGCTTGGCCCACTGCTCGCGCATGTCTGCAGCAGCGTGAGATGGTGCTGGTTGGCCTCCCTTGAAAAGTGGGGTGGCCGCTTTCCACACATCGTTGCTCCAGCTCGCGAAGCGCTGTCGCCACTGTGCGCTGCTCCTCTTCTGCATCTGGTACTGCTCGATGGTGATCCCCTGGGAGATCCAGTCCAGCGCGCCGGAGTACGTCGGGATGCCCGCTGCCGTGATCTGAACCAATCCATCAAATGCTGCGGCCGCGAGCTGAGTGTAGTGCTTAGCCTCCAATCTGGTACAACCTGGAGCTCCTTGCCGTAGGTGTTCTGCCAGCCGTCAGTGCAGTCGTCGGGGTCGTCGCAGGGCGATCGTCTCGTCAGGTCTGTGTGCGGGGGAGTGTGAAGTCGGCCGTGAGGTTGGCTGTGAGCCTTTGTCCATCTCGGCTTCGCTTTGTACTGATAGCAGTCCGCGTTCGACTGCAAGTATCAGCTTCTTCTCCGCCCTCATGTGCCAGTATTGCCAGCGCTCCACCAGAGGGGGGTCGGTGTCGTCGTTCAGGTAGCGGGGGGGGCCCCACGCCCTGGTCCAGTAGCTCTTGAAGTCGCTCTTTTTCCCCTTCATTGGGGCTGCGCTCTGGTGTGTATGATGCTGTGCGTCGAAGTCGGGTTGGTGTCGGATTCACGCGCGTGATGTTTAGCACGTATCCCACCAAGGCGTGATGAGGAATACCTGGCAGCAGGTGCGTCGTTGTTCTGCTCTGGTGAAGTTCCTTCTCCCCACAACAGCGCTCTCGACGGACAAGTACCTGCTGCCGTGGTGGATGTCTCTGTGCCCCGCCGTGCCGTCCTCATGCGCCAGCGCGTGGTCAGGGCGGAGTAGAGAGGGCGCCAATTGAGGTCTCCAATGCTGTAGACTGGATGGTCAATGCGGCCCAACGATTGGATGTATTCGAAGGCGTGCTGGAACCAGGCTCTGCCCACTCCCACGGGGCCGTAGACGGACAAGAACGTAGCGGTAGCACAGCGTATCCCGACCATGCGGTGGCCGAGGTCCTCGTGGCGGATGACGGTGATCTTGCCCAGGGGGCGACGCCAAAGGATGGCGCAGCCTCCTTGGCGTACCGTGCCCCATTCCTGCGTTGGTGGTGGGTCTGAACATGCAATACCCCATCCATATCTCATGGCCGTCTGAAAAATCCAGCATGGTCGAAGTTTGCGATGGCGTATCTCCTGGAGGCAGAGAACTGTCGCTGTCGATGCAGGTAGTGCCTCCAGGATAGTGATGAGTCTCGTTTTTGAAATGCTGGTGACATTGATCGTGCATACTTTACGCTTGGCGGCGTCTGAGCTCGGCTCCCTTGTCGGAAAGAGGTCGCCAGGATCCAGCTTCTCCTCCCGCTTCTGTCTTTTGTGCTGTGCCTGGCTTGGGCTCGAGGAGCACCCGAGGCCAGGGCTCGAGCTCTGTCCAGCCTGTGGCTGTCCAGCATGTGGCGACTGAGCCTGGGAAGCAGACGTCGGCAAAATCCAGTCGCGACCAGGACTTGCGCTCTTCGCGCCAGAACCTCTTGACTTGGCAGAGAGGGACCTATGAACTTGTCCCTTGCCCGTGCGTTCTGACCGATGTCCAGCATGTGGCAACGGTGCCTGGCTCGAGCTCGAGGAGCACCCGGAACCAGGACTTGCGCTCTGACCTTCAGGATAGTGGGAGCTGGCAGAGACGGGCCCCAAGGGTCCCTTGCCAGGGCGCTCTGACTGTGTACTCGCTGCCGTAGGTGATCCCGTTGGCGTAGGCGCAGTACCAGTAGGCGTCGGCGGTGTCGTAGGTGTACCCGCAGCTGCAGTACCTGTGTCCGAAGCGGTAGAGGTG